TTGAACTCCACACAGAAGGTTTCCCAATTAGGAATCAGGGAGAGGGCCATTGGCATGCTGCAGGCAGGCATGTCATTTGCCAGCATTGCTAGACACTGGAATAAGCTGCTCCACTGTGTCCCAACTGCAGCGAAGGCCCCCTGCTTGTCAGCAGTGGCATCGGGTCCTCTTCACGGATGAGTTGCTCTTCAGCCTGTTCCACGCAGACTCCAGAGTGTGGAGGAGGAGGTTTTGTGTTTCTTTTTCCATCAGTATATATACCAAAGTAAAAGAAAATATATCCTCATCTGGAAGTTCTGAATACAAATTAAGTAGTCTCCTTAGCTTGTTTTGAAATTCAATTTGTTTTTTATAGTGCCTTTCACAACAAGGTGCCCCAAGGCGCTTAAAGCAAGTGACCATACATGCTGTGAATACAGAAAAGACCAGAACACAAATGTAGTCTTTAAAGGGTTCTTCAGAATGCTGCAAAACAGTGCAGCAATTACAGCATCAATTTCCTGTGGCTTAACATTTAGATGTTATATTTTTATGGTGGTTTTAATGTCTTGCTGTAGAATATCTGCAAAATCTGTTTAAAGATTGAGAATCATTAATGTACGAATGCTACAATAAATTCTGGAAGTTACATTTTCATTGCGTAAAATACTACAAAATGTAGGACTGCACAACCCCGAGGGAGCCTTGATTCCCATCGTCTAGTAGATAATGTCTGTTACTTTATTTTAGCAAAGTTTTTTTTATTTACAGAGAGTGCTAAAATGATCAGATTGCACAGTGAAACACTTGTCTTAAACTTTAATTTGGTAAAAGTGGAGGTCTTCAGTTTTTTGTGCTTCTCTGTCCTGATAAATGTTCTGTGGTAGATAAAAGCTGAGCTGAAAGGTTTGTGGTGAAAACAGAATGGGGGTGGCAAAAGGCAGCAATACGGAGTAGTGGTCAGGCTTGTGGACTCTGATTCCATAGCAAATACTGCTGTTGAGCCTTTTGAGCATGGCATCTGCTATAGATTACTTCAGTAAATGTCCTACTGTAAAAACAGGTAACAGTTCACATTTTAAGTTTGAATTTGACAGTTGACTTATCCAGGTTTGTGATTAATGCAGTGACCACATGTTTTTGTGGCTCATGATTAATGAGGGTTTTTTTTCCTTATGAAAGGAATGAGGAAGGGTAAGGACTGATATAATAGATAAACCCCAGTGTTGCCAAGTTTGAAGATGTCGTAAACAGGTGGAGGCTTATTAGCATGAATTGGGTGGAAAGGTTTTGCTGATCCCTTGCCCTCCAACTTCTGCTCGTGCTATGAAAACAGCATTATGTTCAGCCGATTATAATAATTGCTTACACTTATATAGCACTTTCCTGGACACTCCACTCAAAGAGCTTTACAGGTAATGGGGACTCCCCTCCACCACCACCAATGTGTAGCATCCACCTGAATAAAGAGACAGCAGCCATAGTGCACAAGAATGCTCACCACACATCAGCTATTAGTGGGGAGGAGATTGATAGATGGGGATTATTAGGAGGCCATGATTGGTAAGGGCCAATGGGAAATTTGGCCAGGACTCCAGGGTTACACCCCTACTCTTTTCAAGAAACGCTCTGGGATTTTTAATGACCACAGAGAGTCAGGACCTTGGTTTTACATCTCATCTGAAGGACGGCACCTGTTTACAGTATAGTGTCCCCATCACTATACTGGGACATTTGGACCCACATGGACCGCAGGGTGAGCACCCCCTACTGGCCCCACTAACACCTCTTCCAGCAGCAACCTTGGTTTTTCCCATTCAGGGCTCCCTTGCAGGTATTGACCAGGCTCACACCTGCTTAGCTTTAGTGGGTTGCCAGTTGTGAGTTGCAGGGTGCTATGGCTGCTGGATTGATGTAAGGCTAAACCAGTCAGCTGTTGGAGTTGCGTCAGTGTTGGCTGCAAAGGAATAAGGATGGGTTAATTTTACTTTATCACGCTGAAAAAAACTATTGTGAAATGTCTGAATCAGAGTTTTTTATTTCTAATTTTCAGTATGGAATTCATCATACTTGTTCCTATATAACATGGTAATGTCAAGTTGAAACTGGGGAAAACAAAGCACATGTTGAACTCCACACAGAAGGTTTCCCAATTAGGAATCGAACCCAGGGCCCAGGAAAAGCAAGGCATCTGCAGCTGGACCTTCAGTTACAGGTTCCTTGTTATAACACAAGTGACCAGAAGCCGTGTAAAGAGGGGAGGTGTCTGTACTTCCTCATGCTCTCCTGTTTGCAGTTGCAGGGTTGTCAGACACAAGAGGTGAGAAACATGCCATTGGTTATTTAAAATTGTATAATAACTTAAAAATGTTGCCCATGTATGAGATCCTCAGCTTACAAAGGAGAGGATGCTGTTTAGCCAATCTGGCCCATTTCGTAGTGAGTAGTTAACGATCCATGATCTTATCCAGATGTGTAGGGTTCAACTACATAGCCTTCAAACATCCCTTTGGGTTTGGACCTGCCTCCTATTCTACGTTTTAAATGCCCTTCCAAATAGTTTCCACATGAATCCTGTTTGTAGAGATTCCCCTTTTCAGAATAACCATCCATCCAATTCCTAGCCACTTTAACCAGTATACGTTTGCAGGAGAATGCCAGTCCATTGCAGGACACATAAGGACACAAACACAGATGTGTACACTCACACCAGGGCCAATTTTGTCGGAAGCCAATTAGCCTACCAGTATTTCTGGGCTGTAGGAGGAAACAGAAGCACCTGGAAGAAACCCACATGACCACCGGGAGAAAATACAAACTCTATGTAATTATCAGCCCCGGAATTGAAGACAGAGCTCCAGTGCTGCAAGCTCACAATGCTGGCGACCTTGCCACTGTGCCACATCCCTTTTTTGAAGAAAATAGAAATTAATAAGACACCCCAGCATCCTGGTTAAATACCATTGTGGGCTTATGCAATGTGAACAACCTAATATATTGTTCCCTCTTAATTCAGTTGGTGAAAGCACTGCAGAGATGCAGTAGTGGATGAAGCAGGTTCCTTCAAACATGTAATGCATTTTGGGATCCTTTGGGACTTAAAATGTGAAGAATTATTAATTATAGAAAAGGTTACAAATAAGTAGCCATTCAATCCATTTACATTGTTGCTCATAGTAGCTGACCTGAGGATCTCAAAGAACCATTTTTTGATAGAAGCCAGTACCAGCTTCGACAACAAGGCTAGTCTCTTTGCATTAGTGCCTCTTGTTCTCAGTTTTAATTTAACTGCTCTACAGTTTCCATCCAGGTGGCTCGGTTTGTATATGTTTGTTGATTTTGTCCATTGGATTGACATGAATACTTGAATCAGATCAACTTGTAGTCCTCTCTGTTCAAGACCAAAGTGATGTAGTTCTTTTTGCCTATCAGTGTGAGGAATTTATGTGAACTCCAGAATGTAACTGGTCACTCTTCTCTGAACTGATTCCTGAGCATGGTGACCAAAATTGTACACAACATTTTAAATGCTATCTTGGGACTACACTGTACAATTTTCGCATTAACATTTCTCAATTTAAATCTATAGTGACTCAACTTTCTAACATTCTGTTAGCCTTTTTTAACTGCTATCTCATATTGTCTAGACAAAACAAATGATCCATTCACATAAATATAATAAATACAGTATCTTCTTCATGTTCAGTGTTTTAAAACATTTTACATTTACAGTTATTTTCCTAAAAGTTTTAAAGATAGCAGAAACATTGTCTTTAAATATAAGAACAAATATCAACAATTTGCATTAGAAATTAATTACTCATGGAATTTTGGTTAGCTTACCCATGCAGCTGTTTCCAAAACTGCTGTGAATTTTATTCACCATAGCAGTTGGCACAGTTCTGTCACACATCAGGTATTGGAGATTTATCTGAACTGCTTCTAGTACCTGTGTTATTTCTGTATCTTTTATGATATTAGTTAATGTAGTATGTTTCTTCCCTGGTAGTCTACTGACTAAAATATTAATTTAACGAATCGTTTCCCTTTCATTTTCTTGATGTTTCCCATTAATATCTCTGGGAGTCTTTTCTTCATCCTTTACATTTCTTTTGCTGTTTGCTGTTGCTATACTATACTGTTTTATTATTATCATATCAGCCACCACATCATATCAACCACCAATATCAGCAGAGATAGCAGAGCAAGACCTTTCTAACACCCATTTTACCTGTGCTAACAATTCATTGCAACCCTTTTCTTTACCTGGATTCTGTTCTCTTTTAATCATTTAATGCACTTTTAATCAAGTGCTTTTTTTCAGCAAAACCTTTTTCTTCATTGTTATTTTCTATTCACTACTTCCTAGGCTTTGCTTTACCTAACTGTTGGGATGAATCTCTTCTGTGATTCAAGCTGAATGTCTTTTATCCATTTCCATCCACTGTGCATTACCTTTGTTTTGGACTTTGCCTATATACTGTACTTTCTATATATAATTTGAAGCATATACCAGAGTACAGGAAGTATGTAAATATTATTATTATCAGTAGTAATAATAATAATAATGGTGCAGTATATCATTAATTGTTCCCCCAGTGAGCCATTATGTTGTATAGAGATTAAAGACCATTAACCTGTCTGATAGTTTGTGCCAATCTCT